GTCCTCAGACAATGACTTCAGGGATTCAGTGGATGGTCCAGTTTCGAGACAGGCAGATCGAAGCCCAGAGAGGACAGTAACTCACCTGGGATGTTCCAGCGAGGGAGGGATGAATCCAGACCCCATTCCTTCTCTGCTGGACTGCACGGCCTGGGTGCGGGCCTGGGGTGCTTCCCTCCTCCTCGTCTGTCCCCACAGGCCCTCTGTCCCCCAGAACTGAGAAGGCAGGGAGCCAGGTGTCTCCCCGGACACTCCAGAAACTCGGGGAACCAGGTTTCCTTTTAAGGCAATTCAGCCTCCTGGCAGACAGGCAGACAGACTATGGGATTTGGCTGTTGCTTGAAGAAGCCGCTGCAGGCAGGGGAGGAGGAGTGAAGAGCGCTCCCTGCCCCGTGGGGGAAGGAGGTGGCCTGGCTCCCCCCAGCTGAGACTGAGGGTGCTCTGGGCAGAGTGGAGGGGAGCCCATCCACAGGGGCTGCCTGGACACGGTCATTGCTTTTCACCCCAAGGTGCTCGAGCCCTTGTCCCTTCACTGGGCCCTGAAGGGCGACCCCCAACCCAATGGCCCAGCTCAGACAAAGGCCCAGCCGAGAGGCATCCCGGACTGGTTCTCCTCACTGGCACGCCCTTGGGTTTCACCCATCCTCCGCCCGTGTTCCTGCTTCCCTGGGGCCCTGCTGGATGTGGGCCCCTGACACGGAGCCAGGGAGGACAAGGGAGGCCTCTGTGGGGCTGCGGGTCTCCCCCAGCCGGAGAAGGGCCTTTGTGTCCGGGAACAAAACACTACTTGGAGCTGGCTCCCAACCATGGGGTGCAGGCCGTTCCTCCCTGAGGGGTATTCCTAGGGGCGTGGAGCATGTCCCCTGCTGGTTCGGGGGTGGGGAAGGGAGGAGAGGGCCGAGCCTCGGGGTCCGGGATGTCCAGCAGGTGCAGGCACGCTTAAATGTGGTGGGGGTGGCGGGATGGCGGTCAGGGTGGCTGAGGCTTCAAGGGCTGGACCTGCACTGGAGTCCCCATCTGTCTCTTGCAGCCCAGCCACTGCTGGAAAGTTGCCTAACCTCTCTGAGCCTTGTTTCCTTGTCTTCAAAGTGGGCATTTTCCCCCACCTTACTGTGGGGACGAAATGGGATGGCTGTCTGGCACATAGTAGGCATGCAGCCAACAGCGGTCCGTCAGGGGGGGTGCCTTGGCTGCAGGAGTTCTGGGGGTCACCTTTGGTCACCTCCTCAGAGGCAGAAGAGAACCTGTGTGGCTCCATATGAACGAGCACATTTTCCGGATCTTCCCCAGCAGAGCTCCCCTCTCATCCCACGGCTGGTCCTTGAAGCAGCCCCCGCAGAGGAGTGGGATCGCCATGGGGGCCCAAGGGACCAGGCTCTGCCCCCAGAGCTGGGGCTGGGAGCACCTCCGTGAGGCCCTCTGTAGAGGGGTGGCTGCCTGAAGACAATCGGGGTCTGTAACAAGGAGGGGAAACGGTTGATGGCTAGGCAGACGGCCACATACTGTCGCTATTTTTCTCGAACCGTCCTCCACGTAGATGGTTTTGCAGCCCTGAGCTCCTGCTCAACAAGGCGGCCAGCCCCTGGAGTCTTCAGGGCTGAAGGAACGGAGGGCGGTGGTGGGGGCTGGCCCTGGCCCTACGGACCTGGCAGCTCAGGCCCGTGGGTTATTCTCTGAGGAAGGCAGAGTCATGTGCGGCTAGAGAAATCCTACCTGCGGGTGTGTCAATGTGTGCGTGAGCCTGGGGATGCAGCGGCCCACGGCCCCGGGCCCAGCTCCAGCCCTCCCCCGGCACAGCCTCCCAGCCCTGTGCACAGGCGCTGCCCGAGCCCTTGCTGCGTGCCGGGTCCTGCCCTGGGCTCTGAGGCGGAACAGAGCACTTAATTCACCAGCCCTGATTACGTGAGGTGCAGACGCAGGAGAGGAGCTGGGAACGTTGGCGGAGGCGGGGCTGGAGCGTCTCCAGGTTAGGGTCTGCCTGTTCTCAGGCAGCAGAGGTTGCTGATGGTTTTGGAGCAGAACCCTCGACAAAGATCTGGCAGCGCTGGGGGGTGGATCAGGGAGGAGATTCCAGAAGCAGTGTGGCCGGAACTGTTGCCTCCCTGGGGATGCCTTCGCTTGTAGAGTAACTGGCTTCAACAGTAAAGCGAATTTGTTGGTTTGTTTGACCGGAAAATTCAGAGAGAGATGAGCCGGAGGTTTGGCTGAATGGTGGCTCAGTGATGTCATCACAGACTCTCAGCTCTGTCTTCCCTGCTGTCAGCTTTGTCCTGGAACTGCCTGGCCCCCTCGGGACAACGCCCCCAGAGTCTGCTGCTCGCCTCGCTTCGCTCAGGGGGCAATGGGCTTGCCTCCAGGAAGTTCTTTCGGAAGATCGGGGTTTTTCTTCCCCAGACTCCCTAGAACTCCATTCTTCTATCTCACTGGCCTGGCGTGGGCAGCCGGCCCACCCCTGCGCCCATAACCGGGGCTAATCAGCTTAGGTCCACGCACGTGCCATGGCTGAAATCGGGGTCGTTACCAAGAAAAAGGCGAATGCAGCCTCGTGTCCTCTTTGAGAGGCTGGTGTGGGCTCGGCGGGGGAAGGCAAGAGGGGGTTAGGCTGGGTTAGGGTGCTGGAAAGAGGGTGGACGAGGAGAGCACGGCCCACGATTTGGGGATGAGTAAGTAAAGGGGAGCGGAGCCGGGGCAGCTAAGGAGGGGGCTCGTGTCATTCTAGGGTTTGGCAGAGAATGATTGTGGTACCACGAGCAAAAATGGAAAAGTCAGGAAAAAACAGGTTCCAGAAAGAAGGTCATGCGTTCAGGTCACTCGTGTTGAGACTGAGGTCCTTCTGGACCATCCAGGTGGAGATGCTCACCTGAAACCGGACACTGGGCTCAGAGGGGGGGTCAGGGCCAGCTGTATGTGGAAGTCCTCGGCGTGGGGTGACAGTAGATGCACCAGGACCAGAGAGATTGGGAAAGAGAGGGACCAGGGTGGGACCAGAGGGAAGCCCAGGTCTTCGGATACTGGAGGACGGAGCAGAGGGGGTGCAAACGTATCTTGCTGATCGACAGACCCAGGTCTCCGTGCTGTTCCAGGCGACATCCCCAGCACCACTCCGGCCACCTTAAGCCCCATGTGCGTATCAGCCTGCACACGTTCACCGAGCGCTTCCACGGGGTCTGGGGCTCCGCAGAGACGCACGGCTGTGGACAGCATGCCCCGGTGTGGCTTTCAGCGTGGGGGCCCTTTGTTCCTTCCTCAGCTGTTGACTGAACGGTGCTGCGTGGGCCGTGGGGACTCTATCGTGAATGCCACCAAGTGCCACCAGGCAGTCAGAGCGTGCGTCCCCGATGTCCTAAGCCAGCAGCTCTGTCCTCAAGGCCCTGAGCCTGGAGCGTCTTCTTGAGCTGAAGCCCGTGTCCACCGTTAGATGGGAAGCTCTCCAGCAGTGGAGACGGGGCTCCCTCTGTCCGACACTGACCCCCGAGCTGTGGGCAGAAGCCCTGATGCCAGCGGGGTGGGCTCTGGATCCATGCGCCCGTTTTCAACATTTCCATGACACGTGTCCCCGTGAGCTTTCTCCTGAGGCCCCTTTGCCTCCTGTGGCAACAAACCCCTCGGTACCTGCCCTTCATTCCCTAGCCCGCTGCATCCTCCTTTACTTGCCCTGTCCCGGGCCACCTGGCCCCATCGTGTACCCACGTCCCCTGTACCTGGCACAGGACCGCTTCCCTCTGTGCATGGAGTCACATGCCTGCTGAGCGACCGATTGGAGTGGAAGGAGAGAACCAGGTCCATCAGCTGAGGGCTTTCCCTGTTCTCCAAGTCCCCATGGCATTCACCTCCTGTGCCGCTCTCTGGGGAATCAGGGCCAGCTCTGCAGCATCGGCTCTCCAGCGGTGTTGGGCTTCTGCATTAAGAATCATTATGGACTGCTCATTGTAGGCTAGGCCCTGTGCTGCGTATGACACGCTGTGTTTCATTTAATCCCCAGAAATAATCTATGAAGTAGCTTTTTTTTTTTTTTTTTGGTGAGGAAGATTGGCCCTGAGCTAACATCTGTGCCAATCCTCCTCTATTTTGTATGAACGATGTGTACGTCAGCGTCTGGGATCCGAACCCACAAACCCTGGGCCGCTGAAGTGGAGCGCACAAACTTAACCACTGTGGCCCCAGGCCGGCCCCTGAAGTAGCTTTTTCATGCAGAAATCAAAGTTTAAAAAGACGCACTGCCTTGCCAGGGTACACGCAGCAAGCGAGTGGCAGGGTCAGGATGGGACCAAACCTGTCTGCATCAGGACCGCAGCTTGGAACCAGTGCCCAGAGCATCTCAAAGCTGGTGTCAGGCCGCCTGCTATGGATGCTTATTAAAAGTCCAGATTCCTGTACCTCATCCTCGGAGGTCATGACTCATCGGGTCTGGGGTGGCGCCGGTAAATCTGATTTTGGTAGAGCCCCCGCCTGAGTCTAATGGACTCGAAAGCCTGGGAACTCAGCTCCGTGTGCCTTCGCAGCCCCCAGCAGCCCCCCACAACCGTGTTCCTTCCCCCCCTCTCAGAGGTAACAAACCTAAGGTGATAGTTTGTGATAACCACCCCCTTGTTTTTCTTTATAACTGTTCCTCCTGTGTGTTCAGGCCTCGGCCGTATGAATTTCGTCCGTTTGTGAACCTGACACAGATGATCTGTGTCTTACGGATTCTAGTATCTCTGCTTCTTTTGCTCCAGATTAATCTGTGTGGGATTCGTCCGTGTTGATGCCTACCGTGGTGGGTGTTTCATTTTTATTGCGACGACAGCCTCCTTCCTGGAGCCGGTATCTGAAGCATATTTACATCCTTTCGAACACCCAGTGCAGGCCTGAACCACAGCAGTTGCTCAGGGACTGCCTGTCGGTTCCACGAGGAGCAGTTTAGGAGGATGCGGGGCCCGCGGGCTGCCTGTGGTGTCTCCGTCACCGGCAATCAGTGTTTCCCACCTCCCTGCAAAATTAACTCCCGTTTCTGTGTCCAGTTTCAGGATGCCGAACTGGGGAGGAGGCAAGAAATGTGGGGTGTGCCAGAAGACGGTTTACTTTGCCGAGGAGGTCCAGTGCGAAGGCAGCAGCTTCCACAAGTCCTGCTTCCTGTGCAGTGAGTACGCCGGCCCGCGGCAGCCCTGGGGACCTGGGTCTGCCCCCGCAGGCTGGCCTGTCAACAACCCCCCCCCCAACCTCGGGGGAACTGGTCCCACGGGATGTAAACAGCTTGACATTTGGCTGGAGTGCAGCAGCTGGGGAGGGAAAGACTTCTGGGCCTCTTTGTTCTGCTCAGAAGCTGCTTTCTAAGGGGATGAACTGGCCAGAGCTGGTGGGGGTGGCGGGCGCTCGGGGCTGAGAGCCAGGCTCTAAAGACTTGGTTAGGAAAACTTTCCACTCCACTTCTCTCCCTGCCACAATCGTTTAAGAGGAAGACACTTTGAGCCCAAAGTTTCACCAGCCTTTGGACCCGAATCGTCTCCGTAAAAAGGCAGCAGAGGCTGCAACCTTATAGGGAAGCTGAGTCTGGAGGAGGAGCCGGGCTGTCCCTTCCTCCCCGACTCCTTGGCCGGCCATTCCCCCTCTCACTTCCCCTTCCTGCTCCAGCAGCCTGGATAAGAGGAAAAAGAAGGACAAGCTCTTTGACATCCACTCCCTATAACCCGGAGCAAGACTTGTCCAGTCTCAAGCCTGGATGAGCCGGAAACCAGGCAACAGACACCAGGCAGCCGAGAGTCGGGGGACCCTGGACCCTGACTCCAGGATGCTGAGCTGGCGGGTGCCTGGGCCAGTGATGTTTTCAGAGCGCCCAGGCAGTGGCGAGTTGGGGAGCCTGCCCTGGATTCCTAGATGACTCAGTTCATCGTGATCAGAGCAGAGGGTGTGGGTTAGGAGAAGAAGCCTCCGCGGTAAGAGGCGTTTTCCTTGAGGCCGGCAGAGTGGGAGGCAGGGCAAAGTCCACTTAAGCTGTAGGTTTCAGAGCCCGGCGGGCAGGGTCTGAGTCTGAATTCAGTGCTGGTTGTCTGTGTGGTGACCGGCAAGTCACTCAGTTTCTCTCTGCTCAAGTTTTCTCACGATTCCGGGGGAGATGATAACACTCACCTCCGCAGGGGTGTCGTGAGAATTAAAATGAAAGGTGCTTGGAAAACAAACAAAGTGCTTAAAGCGATGGTGGGTGTTCAGTGAATGAAAGACACTGCCTCAGACACACGCGCGCACACACACATGCAGACGGCGCCGAGGCATCCACAGGCAAGCTGGGGAGACTCAAAGGAGACGCCCCCGGGGGCTGAAGTCCCAGCCCATCTGGGAGGTCCAGGGAACGGGGTCCCCTCCGTCCTGCATCACAGGAAGCGAAGTTGAGAGATCTGTGGTGGCTTTGTTCCCCGTGACCTGTGATCCAAGCAGGATCCAGGTGGGCCAGAGGCCACCTGCTCACTGGGTGCTCACCTGATCCTAAGCGCCCCTGGGGGCCCAGCCGGAAGCCACCTGGCACCGTGCTGCAGGGCCCCACTCCCTGCCCGGCCGGCCAGGTGACAGCCGAGGGCTGCGTCCCATGAGTGCGGAGTGTAACGAGCCCTGGCCGAGCCTCGTTGGCCTGCCGCCCGAGGAGGAAGCCGCCAACAGCAGCGTCTCGTTGTCCGCAGTTCCCTGCGCTTCAGAATTCCAAGCTGTTTGTTTTCTCCGAGGGAACGAGAGGGCTTGGCCCTGGCTGGGAAGAGGGTCCGGGCAGCTCTTCACCCTCGAAGGTTGCGTAATCGCCGTGAAAGGTGGCCGGCTGGGGCCCAGAGGCCGCCTGCCCACAGTCCTGCTTGTGGAGGAGTGGCGGCCGGTCAGGCGGCGGAGGGAAGTCAGGAATGCAGGGGGCGGCTTTGGAAGCAGAGGGCAGCCCGGGCCAGGGTGTGGGGGGTTGCGGATTAGAAGCAGCTGTGGAAGGTCAGGCTGGGGAGCAGGGCTGGCCTGAGTCCCCAGAAGAAGTTCCTCTGACCATTCGGGTCCTTGGCTCCGGGTTCCACTCAGCGTGGCACCTGCATTCCCTCTCCTGAGGGTCCAGGACCCAGGAGGAAAGGAGACAGGACGATGGAATAGATGGAGTCAGGGGAGTGGCCTTTGACCCGGGACAGGGGTGGATGGGCCTGCATTACAGTGGGGGGCCTCAGTAGGGGCAGCCAGTTCCCATTAGCAGGCGGGAGAGCTCAGCGCTGCGGTCGGGGGGCCTACCCCGAGGCTACGAGCCCGGCTCTGAGCTGCAGCCACCTCCCTCCTGGGACAGGTCGGGCTGAGCAGCTGGCCCTGTGGGAAAGCGGAGCTGGTCAGGCCCGACCCCCTGGAATGGGGCTGCTCCCCAGAACCCGAGAGCAGAGCACGGGGGAAGCTCCCAGAAGCCCAGCCCACCCTCTGACACCAGCGGCCCCTCCCTGCAGGCTGCGTTTACTGTCAGTTTGACCCTCCCGGTCCCACACGCTCTGCCTCACCAAAAGGGACCAAGGGCTGGCGGAAAACAACCACATCTGGAAGTCAGGAGCTGGGGCTGCCTTTCCGGGTATTTCCAAATGGCGACACAGGCCTCGCCGAACCAGACGCCATCTGGAAGGAGCTTTTCCCAACAGATGCAATGACTGACCCATAACTGGGACTTTTTTTCTGGGCTTAACATGGTCTAGGAGGCGTTTATTTAGGGCTTCCTTCACAACGCCCGTCACTGAGTCTCGGTGGAGCCCGCAAGGGGCTGAGTGCCCCGCCTGGATGGAGGTGGAGGGGCAGAGGCAGGGTAGGGCGGAAGGTGGCCCAGAGGGGGCCGGGCGGACACCAACGGGGAGCTGCTGATGTTGCACCTGGTGGTCAGGGCCCAGGTGGCAGCAGGGAGGCCCTCTGGAGTGTGCTGGCACAGGGACCTGGCGTCCCCTCTGGCCGAGCTCCTGGGTCTCCTGCCGGAGGTCAGTCACGGGACCTCTGCTCCCCCACTGCTCTCGAGTCCACTTTCCGCCCTCCCTCTGCTCCGCGAATTCTCAGTTCAACTTGGGTCTTACGGGAAGCAATTCCTGGCCAGCTCCTGGCTTCCCACCCTCGAAGGGAATGTCCGAGCCCTTGGCCTCTTGCCCCCTCTCCCTCCTTCCCGGGAGCCAAGCCCCAGGGGAGGCCGAGGGAAGGCCCATGTTTGGGCTGCCCAGAGTGCTGGAATGAGGTGGGGACCTCCAGCCAGGACAGGAGGGTCCTTATTTAGTCCGAAATCTCCAACCTGGGGCTCCGGGTGAGAGAGGAGCTGGCCCTTAAAAGGCAAGAGGATGGCCAGCTCGAGGAGCTGAGCCGAGAGCCTCCTCGGAGGGCGGGAGAGGCGGCCCTTCTCCAGCTGTTTCCCTGGGGTTCCATCTGCAGAAGGACATGGGGGAGGATGTGGTCCACTTGGGCCACCGGGTCCCAGGATTTAAGGAGTATCCTGGAACCAAGAGAGCATCATAGGACCAGACTGAAGGAAATAGGGCAAGGTGGAGTCTCTGGAGAGAGGCAGGTGGGGTTTGGAATCCTGCAATCTTTGGAGCCCTGGGCCTGCCCACCCCTCCCCGTCTTCCTATGGGGCTGACCATGGCGTCCACCTGAGAGTAGCCAGCATTTAGGATGACTCTGCTGTGTGCAGGGCATGTGCTCAGTACTTCTCACAGAGCATCTCGGTTCTCACAGCCACCTTTTTGGGGAGACATCACCATCTGCGTTTACGCATGAGGACACGGAGGCTAGAAAGGAGAAATTCCTTGCGCAGGTCACACAGCGGGAGAGGGAGAGAGCTGGGGTCTGACTCTGGGCAGTCTGACTGTTCATGACCCCAGGCTCTGGGACTTTCTTTCTTTTCTTGCTGAGGAAGATTGGCCTTGAGCTAACATCTGTGCCCATCTTCCTCTACTTGGGACACCTGCCACAGCATGGCTTGACATATGCAGTGCGTAGGTCTACACCCAGGATCTGAACCGGTGAACCTGAGTGCACGAACTTAACCGCTGCGCCACCGGGCCAGCCCCAAGGGCTTTCTTACTGTGGAGAGCCTGCACAGCTCCCCCCGAGATAGACAGCAGCACAGATGAGGCCACAGGCCTCCCAGCTCATCCCATTCCAGTCTCTCCTACCCTAGGAGTCAGGAAATTCTTCCCAGCGTCTGACCTCACTTCCTCCAGTGGCAAAGTGATTTCTGAGATTAGAAACTGCCAGTCCTGTTGCTGTGGTTCGTTCGCATGACTGTATCTCCCTTCAAAGCCCACCATGCTGGACACTTCGTCAATGTTAGGCTTTTCTTTTCTTCTGGGGGCATCACTTCACCTGCTTCCCCGCCCCACAGCACCCTCAGATGGTCCCTTCTCCATCCGGTCGCTGGAGGCAGGAACACCCTGCCCTTCCCCTTCCTTCCTTCTTTTCTCCTTTTCTGCCGGGACACGTGGTCTCTTTGTCAAGGGCGGAGAGTCAAGGCTTGGGATCAGCCTAGGCTGTTGCCTCTGATGAACCTGGGGTACCCTGCAGCCTCGGGAGACACGAGGGTGTGGAGGACCGAGGCTGGCTCCCAGTGGCTCCAGGAGGGGTGTTCTGGCCAGTCTTCCTAGAGCTGGGCCACGCAGGTCCCCTCCCTCGCTCCTCCCAGCTCTCTGGCCGTCCTGACCCCCCTTCCCGGGCTGCTCCTGAAAGATCAGGAGGTCGTGCTTGCAGAGTGCCCGGAGGGACCTTGCAGCGAGCCGGCCGCGGGCCCGGCTCTGACTCCCCGTACTGACTTCCCTCCGCAGTGGTCTGCAAGAAGAATCTGGACAGCACCACCGTGGCGGTGCACGGTGAGGAAATCTACTGCAAGTCCTGCTACGGCAAGAAGTACGGGCCCAAGGGCTACGGCTACGGACAGGGCGCCGGCACGCTGAGCACCGACAAGGGCGAGTCGCTGGGCATCAAGCAGGAGGAGTGAGTGCACAGTGCCCCCCCAACCCGGTCCCTGAGCGCTCTCCTCCCGCCCCCCCAACCCCGGCGGGCTCATTTCCACCACTTCGGGTTGAGCAGAGGAAGGCTCAGAGAGCCCTGATTTCAAGGGTGGCCTTGGAGCACACACTCGGCGTCAGGCCAGTTGGAGGAGCCGGGCTCCAGCGGGGACAAACAGGCTCCCCTGTGTCCGGAGCGTGCAGCTGGATTTTTACAGGAGTCGGAGCTGGGAGGAGCCCCGAGAATGGCTTGTCCAGCCTCCTCTCTTCATCGATGAGAAACCCAGCTCAGCCTCGGTGACTGGCTGGGGCTCCCGCAGCCCGAGTGTCTGCGCTGGACCAGGGCTCAGTGGCAGCGCCACCATACCAGCCCGCTCTCTGCATCTCTCCCTCTGCTGGGGGAAGTCACTCCCCTCGGAGAGGCTACAGGGGTCACCAGGTCCCCAGCACCCACTGACTTCTGACCTGCTGTAACCGGTGCTGCTGGCGGTCAGCCCGGCCAGCTCCTGGGCCCTGGGCGGGGGGCGTTGACGGAAATGAGGGATGAGTTACCACATTGCAGCCGAGGCCGCTGCCCCAGTGGGAATGACTTGTCAGCAGATTTCTCCTGGAAGGAATCTGGTAACAGACGGGCTGCAGGAATGGGGGCCTGGGGTGGGGGTGGGGGGCGCGGTCCTTAGCCAAGGAGGGGTGATGAGGTCCAGCATTTAACTAGGTGCTGAGGGAAGTGTGATGTTTCAAATACCCTGGAAAATAGCCTGGGCTGAGGGGCTGGCTTGGTGGTGTTACAGTTAAGTTCGCACGCTCTGCTTTGGTGACCCAGGGTTTGCAGGTTCGGATCCCGGGTGTGGACCTAGCACCACTCCTCAGGCCACGCTGAGGCGGCATCCTACGTAAAATAGGGGAATACTGACACAGATGTTAGCTCAGCAACAATCTTCCTCAAGCAAAAAGAGGAAGATTGGCAACAGATGTTAGTTCAGGGCCAATCTTACTCACCAAAAAAAAAGAAAGAAAATAGATTGGGCTGAGTCCTGGCTTGTCCATCTGTGCAATGGATGATGACTCTGGAGCCCCTAGCCCCGCACTGGCCACACAGTGCGCACCCACCCATGTTTCTCAGTGTGAGTCACCCCACTGCATGTCCTTCCCCATGCAGGGCCCCCGGCCACAGGCCCACCACCAACCCCAACGCCTCCAAGTTTGCCCAGAAGATCGGGGGCTCCGAGCGCTGCCCCCGATGCACCCAGGCCGTCTATGCTGCCGAGAAGGTGATCGGTGCTGGGAAGGTAAGGTGGCCGCGGGGCGTGGTGCGGGGAGGGGAGGGAGACAGGCTGCAGACGCCTTCCTCAAGTGGGGCTTCCAGCAGGTGGTAGGTCTGACCCTTGCTCCTCCCTTCATTTCAAAAGCCCAGGGTGAAGGAGCACCCCCTTGTCCCTGTGCCCCTGGTTTCCAGGGAGCCCGGATCACTCAGGAGCGTGACGGCCCCCCATCCGTGGGACGGATGATTAAACGCCTTGGGCTGTTCACAGGGAGTTGCAAAGATCAGTCCGCGTTTAGGATTGGGGACTACAGACCTCTAAGGAGGCACGGATGGGTTTCGGAGGCTCCACAAGCCCCCTAACATTCTAACATTCTGTGTGGCTTTGTGGGAACGTGTCTCTTTCTGGGAAGAGGTTCCAGAGCTTGCACCAGATTTTCAAAAGGGTTTGTTGATCCCCAGAATGTTAATAAGCACCCGAGAGTCTACACACATTCTGTGTCATGGGATGTGGACTCCCAGAAACCCGTGCACGGACCCCCAGGGCGGAGACCTCAAGCTCAGGGCCTGCAGAGCCTCCCGGGAGGTTTCTGTAACTATTTCTAACTGCCCCACATGTGGCCCCTGAAGGACCGGAAGAGTCGGGTGGCGAGCCCCTGGCCCACGGTGAGTCTCACAGCCCTTAGGGAGGCTGCAGGGGAGGAGGCCCAGGGATGCACTGTCTCCGACCGGCAGCCAGAGAGTCTCAGAAGAGGCATCTTCAAGATCTATGGCCAGAGAGGGCTTCTGGGTCTTCACAGGCGGCCCAGGGTGGAGGGCACTTGGCCAAACTCACCCAGCAAGCCGATGGCACAGCGGGGCCTAGAACCCGCTGGCAGCTTTCCTGGACTTGGATCTTGGCTTTTAAGGCCAAGTGTGGACCTTGAGGGGCGGCCCCGGGGGAGTGGCTGGGGAACTAACTCATGGCCACGTCTGGAGCAGAGCAGGCTCTCCGTTCAACCCTCAGAGTCAGGGTGGAGATCCGTGCTGTGACCCCATTTTACAGAGGATGAAGCTGAGACTCAGAGCATTGCACAGTCTGCCCAGATCTCCAGCCAGTACGTGGCTGGCGAGGAGTCGGCCTGGGGCCCCCTTACTCGCACGCCGTCGCTCTTCCTACTGTTCACTCTATTTTGGGCTATTAAACCCCTTTGAACCCACCCCCACGGCTGACCCACGGTCCTCGCGGGACGATTTAGTCCTGGGACCCTAGACCACCTGGTTTGCAGTGTAGTTTTGCTGTTTACTAGGTGTTTGACCTTGGGCAAATCATTTAACTTTCCGAAGCCTCAGTTGTGTGTCTGTAAAGTGGAGCAAATGACAGTCTCAGAGGCCGAGTTAAGGATAAGATGCGAGAGCGCACAGAGCCCAGCGTGCTCCCTGCGCATCCGCTGCTGATGTTACTGCTGTTGGTATTGTTTACTTTGTGGGGTTGTCGTGAGGTCAGAACGAAGATCCTTGCCATTGAGGAAATGATATGAAAACAGGAGATATTATTAATGATTGTTAAGTTGGTGTTTTTTCTGCTGTGAGAAGCGAAAATTATAAGAAGTCGCTAAGAATCAGTATTTGTTACCTAGCCAGGCTCTAAGTTAGAGTTAAGGCCGTGCTACCAAGGAGTCGGGGTGAGACGTTTGCCTTCAAGCAGAAAAGGTTGGGAGAAGTTCCCACCTCTCTTTGACCTTGGCCGAGAAAGAAACGGAGGGGCCGGAGGACCTTTAGGTGCCGTGTGAAGGAGCAGGGGATGGGTGCTGTCTCGAGGGAGGGCTGGGCAATAGGGCGTGGGGGGTCTGCTGGTGATTCAGCCCTTCTCCAGCCTGGAGAGCTTGGGGTGGCGACCCCTGCTCTGCAGAGCGGGAGGCAAAGGCTGGGTGACCGCTCTCAGCTCTGTGGACCCTGCTGCCCCTCCAGCACGGGAGGAGGAGCCACGTGCCTCCGTCTGGCCGCCAGGAAATCTCAGGGATCCGGTTTCCTTTCATTCTCCAGCCCAGCACCGGGGTGGCTGCGCTGAGGGAGTCTCTTTGCCCTTAAAAGGCCTTGTTCTGTCGGCCCCCCTGCCTCCCTGCAGAGCTGTCTGCAGGGCAGCCTGGGCCTGCTGGGCCGGTGCTGGTGGGAGCTGGCTGTGGGGAGGGCTTGCTGCCTGTGCCGGTCCCCATCACCGCGCAGCCCCGGCCGGCTCCTTCCACCACGGGCTGTTAGCCTCCAGGCTCCTCTTAGAACCACAAAGGGCCTTCTGTGGCCCCCCGAGAATCCACGCTGCTGGGGCCTCTTCCTGCCAAGTTCAATGCACTTCATGGATTGGTCCTCCTTCCAAGTGATACTGACCCCCTTGACTCAGGGCCTCCACTCTGCCCGCCCCGTGCCGGGCACGTGACACTGCTCAAATCACTGAGTCCTCACAACCACCTCGTGAGGGAGATATTGCCTCCCCCCCCCCAAGAGGTGATGGCCTCTGAGCAAACAAGGCAGCCAGTCCATGGGCCAGGCCGGTGGCATAGTGGTTAAGCTCATGCGCTCTCCATCAGCAGCCCGGGGTTCGCAGGCTCAGATCCTGGGCACAGACCTAGCACCGCTCATCAAGCCATGCTATGGTGGCATCCCACGTAAAATAGAGGAAGATGGGCACAGGTGTTAGCTCAGCGACAATCTTCCTCAAGGAAAAAAAAGAGGAGGATTGGCAACAGATGTTAGCTCAGGGCCGATCTTCCTCACACACACACACACACACACACACACAAAGACAGCCAGTCCTGGAACTTCAGAGGCAAGGCTGCTGCAGAAGAGCCCCAATAACAAATGTCTGCCGCGTGGCCAGGCACCATGCGGGGGTATACCTAGTTGTCAGGTCCATCTGCAGGGTAGACGCCGAGGTCTCCCAGGTGAAGAAGTGGCAGAGGCTGTGTAGCTTGTAAGCACCGTGCCAGGACCAGTCTGAAGCCCACGCCACTGACTCCCAGGGAGGATGGGTCTGGAGAAGACTTGTCTGGGCGTGCCTGTGGGGCAGCCTTGGCGGTGACCACCACCCCCCCAACCCCCGGCCCCGGCCCCAGCCTGCCCCTTGTGGTGCAGCTGGTGCCGCTCACCATCCAGCCGTTGCGACACACGGTGTGAGGCGGTGTGTGGTCCCTGGCCTACTCCCTCCACTGTGCCGCCCCACGCAGGACCAGCTGAGCAGACTTCAGAAGTGTCTCGAGCCCTTCCACGTGGTCACGTCAAGGGGGGCCGGGGCTGGGGGGCAGGGATGCCCAGGTCCCTGGTGGCAGCATTAACCATCTCCTTCCTTGCCCAGTCCTGGCATAAGTCCTGCTTCCGCTGTGCCAAGTGCGGCAAAGGCCTCGAGTCGACCACCCTGGCCGACAAGGATGGCGAGATTTACTGCAAAGGTGGGTGGCTTCCCTTCGAATGGGAGGGTCGGGGTGTCTGGGGTGGGGAAGGGGCTGGTGGTTATGCCCTTGCTAAATGGAAACCGATTTCTGGCCTTGGGGTAGAGTCCGGAGCATCTGGTGTGACCCTGAAGCCACTTGGCCGCAGGGGTCATAGGGCCACCGGGGTCATAGGGCAAATTGGGGTCGGATGGGTCAGGACCAGGCTCCTAACTCCTAGTCTGGTGCTCTTCCAGTGGATAATGCTGCTCGTGTCGTTTTGGTGGCAGGGGAAATGGGTACACTGTGGAGCCAGGGAGCTCCTCACTGTTGGGTTGGGGGTGCTGTGTAGGTGAGGGGTGCTGGGGGACCAGGCTGCCCCAGAGGCCTGGCCAGGCGCAGGGGCTGGTGCATCCGCAGTGGGAGGGCGGGAGGTGTGGCCTCATGTCCTCATCATCTCTTCTCCCCCCAGGATGCTATGCTAAGAACTTCGGACCCAAAGGCTTTGGCTTTGGGCAGGGGGCTGGGGCGCTGGTCCACTCGGAGTGAGGCTGCGCCCCGCCACACCAGCTCGATCCTGTGCTTCTCATCGCCGCTCCCTTCCCGGCAGCCTCGGCCACCTCCAGGATTCCCCCTCCCTCTCAGCCCTGCCACGCATCACCAATGACGAACTTGGGCGCTGGGCTCCCTTTGGGGTGGGGGTCTGCCTGAGGTCCCAGCCCTTGAAGGAGCTCCCCCTGCCTGGGAGCTGAGGCCACCGCCAGCGGGAGACCTCAGAGTTGTTAGTCTAGGTAGGACCGCGCCCCTGTGCCCACAGCCCACCCCACAGACCTCTGTTCTTGCCTCCTCGGCTGAGTGTCCACCGTCAACTGGCCACACCCCTGAGCCCACATCTCGGAGCCCGCAGGAGGGGCAGCTGCAGGCCCGGAGGTGGGGGGGAGCAGGAAGCAGGACCCAGGTGGGCGGAAAAGGCTGTGGGTCACTGGACCCCAGAGATTCTCCTCCTTGGGTGGGAGGGTGGGCTTCTTGGTGTCCCTCAGAACAGGCCTGGGGAGCCCCAGTTCCGGGGGTCGCTAGGGGGCACGCAGACAGGGTTGCAGACGGAAGGAGCCACCTGCTTCTCTAGGCGCCTTGCCTTTGAGGCTGTGGGGAACGATGTCCTCCCCCTCGGGGTAGGAGGGGAACTCCCAAGTCCGAGAACCCCAAAGTCAGGATGTGGTCTGACCCCCCCCGGGCCCTAGTTCCCTGTTCGATGGAGGCCCTCATGACCACCTCCAGCCCACACTCCCATTTATCAGTGGCCGAATCAGAGGGCGGATGGCCTGCCCCTAACCCTGGGTCCCCAGGCTGCCGAGGCAGCCCCTCCCCTGCCCAGCACAGCCCAGGCCAGTCTCAGTTCTTACCACCCACGCCCGCTGGACCCTCAGATGTGGAGGGAGGCGCACGCAGCCTCATCTTCACACTGACACCCCTTCCCTCTGCACCCCATCTTCAGGACCTTCCCGCCCACTGGGGCCTCCACCCACCCTTCTCCAGGGGACCCTTCTCTGGCCACATCACCCCCATCCCTTCCATGCCCCCAGGCCGGAAGCAGTGGGAGGAAGTGGGAGGGGCCGGGCCTCGCTGCTCCCAGGACTGAAAGGAGGTCACTATGCAGAACTGACTGTCGGGCTGGAAGGGCTGCAGGCACGCAGGCACGGGCTGTATTCAAGCTGACTTCTCATCTGGGCAATAAAGCTATTAGAACAGAGCTCTGGTGTCCGATCTTGGTCTGTGCTGGCAGGAAGCTTGACAGCAGTCACATGAGTGGGAGGTCTGGTGCAAATAAAAGGGTTTGCTCTGGGGCCGGCCCGGTGGCACAGTGGTTAAGTGCGCACGTTCCGCTTCTCCGCAGCCTGGGGTTTGCCGGTTCGGATCCCGGCGGGGACATGGCACCGCTTGGCAAGCCGTGATGTGGCAGGCATCCTAGATATAAAGTAGAGGAAAATGGGCATGGATGTTAGCTCAGGGCCAGTCTTCCTCAGCAAAAAGAGGAGGATTGGCAGCAGATGTTAGCTCAGGGCTAATCTTCCTCAAAAAAAAAAAAAAAAAAAAAGAGTTTGTTCCCGCTTTTCTAAGGGCTGCTTACTGTCCGGGATCGCTTCTAACTGCCCCGTGCTGCCTGGACTGACCTGCCCAGCCAAATCCAGCTGCCTCGCCCCCTCTGGGGGTGGGACCGAACGGGCTTTGGAATTGAGGGGCTCAGCAAAGCCCCAAAAGAGTGCTCAGAACTTCTCCCAGCTTGGAAAGCCCCAGAGTGAGGGAGACGCAGCCAGAGGAACTTCCGTGTCAAATCCAGAAGGCTCCCAGGAGGAATGGAGTGGAGGGGCCTCGCTCAGCCCACTGCGCCATCAGGGCGCCGTCCCAGCCAGTCCGGGCTGCTGTAACAGAATGCCATAGACTGGGGGACTTCTAAGCAGAAATTTACTTCTCCGGTTCTGGAAGCTGGGAAGTCCAAGATCCAGGTGCTGACAGATGGGCTTCCTGGTTCACAGCTGGCCATCTTCTCACTGTGTCCTCATATGGCAGAAGGGACAAGGGAACCCCCTGGAGTCTCTATAAGGGCACTAATCTCACTCACGAGGGCTCCAGCCTCATGGCCCAGCAGCCTCTCAAAGGCCCTGCCTACTGACACCATCACAGTGGGGATTAAGTTTCAACACGTGAATTGTAGGGGACACAAATATCCAGTCTATAGCATTTTGCCCCTGGCCGCCCAAATTCATGTCCTTTTCCCACGCAAAATACATTCATTCCATCCCAATAGCCCCCAAAGGTCTTAACTCGTTTCCTCATCAACTTTAAAGTCTGAGCCCAAAGTCCCACCTCAATGGCGTCTACGTCACACGTGGGTGAGACTCAAAGAAGAATTCGTCCTGAGCCCAATTCCTCTCCAGCTGTGAACCTGTGAGAAACGCATGTGGTGAGTTTCCAAAATACAACGGTGGGACGCGCATAGGACGTTCATTCCCATTCTGAGAGAGAGAAATAGGGAAGAGGGAAGGAGTGACAGGCCCCAAGGAAGTCCCAAGCCTGATGGGACTAATTCCATTAGACTGTAAGGCTGGAGAATCATCCTCTGTCTTCTGGACCTGCTGGGGCGGCGATGTCGCCCCCTGAGGCCCAGCGGGGTGCTGCCTGTGCCCCGGCTCTCTGCCAGGGCCCCACCCCTGTAGCAGCTCTGGCTGCGCCATCCTTACAAACCTAGGTGGGGGGAGCCATGACCCCCACCCCCAGCCCTTGGACTCTGGGCGGGTGATGGGAGTGGCAGCTCTAAATCTCTGAATCACCTTCCAGGTCATTCTTCCATTGTCTCAAGGAACAGCCCTTGGCTTCCGTCCAGATGGCTGACCCACACTGATCTCCTTTTTCAAAGGTCGCTTGGCCACACCCTTAATGGTCTCACTTTTTTGCAACGTGGACAGGCTGAGCATTTTCCAAATCTTTCAGGTCTGCTTCCTTTTTGCTTAACAATTCCATCTTCAGGTCATTTCTTCCTGCCTGCCTTTCACGGTGCACAGTTGGGAGGAGCTGAGCTGTGCCTCCAACACTCTGCTCAGAGACCTCCTCAGCCAAACATGCACGTCTGTTGTGCACAAATCTCACCGTGCACAAAACACGACAGAGCCCAGTTCTTTGCTGCCTTATAACAAGCAGCACCTTTTGTCCAGCTTCCAATAATGTGCTCCTCCTTTCTGCCATCAGAGTGGCCTTTGTTGTCTGTATTTCTGCCAACCTTCTGCTCAGGATTCCTCAGGTCTTCTCTGGGACCACCGACGCTTTCTCTCCAGCTCTCCTCTCTTAATCTTTCTCACCAGAATCCCCTTTAAATGTCCGTTCACAGCAGTGGGGTTTTTTCAAGCAGACATTTTAAAACTCTCTGAGGGGCTGGCCCCGTGGCCGAGCAGTTAAGTTCGTGTGCTCCGCTGCAGGCGGCCCAGTGTTTCGTTGGTTCGAATCCTGGGCGTGGACATGGCGCTGCTCATCAAACCACGCTGAGGCGGCGTCCCATGTGCCACAGCTAGAGGGACCCACAACGAAGAATATACAACTATGTACCAGGGGGCTTTGGGGAGAAAAAGGAAAAAATAAAATCTTAAAAAAAAACCAAAACTCTCCGAGCCTCTCCTCATTACCCAGTTCCAAAGCCACTTCCACATTTTTAGGTGTGTGTCCCGGCGGCAACCCCACTTCTCAGTACCAATTTCTGTCTTAGTCAGTTCCGGCTCCTATAACAAAATACCGTCAGTTGGGCGGCTTATAAACAACAGAAATTTATTTCTCATAGTTCTAGAGCCTGGGGGTCCAAGATCAAGGTGCTGGCTGACTCAGTGTCTGGCGAGAGCTCACTCCTGGTTCACAGACGGCCGTCTTCTCGCTGTCCTCACACGGCGGAAGGGCCCAGGGAGCTCTCTGGGGTCTCCTTCATGAGGGCACTAATCCCACTCACGAGGGATCTGCCCTCATGATGTAATTACTCACCAAAGACCCCCACCTCCTAATGCCATCAGCATATGAATTTGGGGGGACACAAACACTTAGTCATGTGGCAGGCCCCCACAGCCAAGTCCATGGAAGGCTGAACTCTTTGTAAATGAGCTCATCTGAGGGGTACCGTGTCCCTCATCTTAGGGACGTCAGTCTGATGTTTTCGGGCTGGGCTTCTCTGTCCACACGGTGAATTTACAAAACAGTAAGCAGATGCTTTGACAACAATAAGTGTCTCTTGCATATTGTCCAGATGACCAGTTCCAACAGTGGCCTTGGCAGATCCCAGCTCCTTGACTCCGGGAATAGGACCTAAATATGTGAAAGACCAATGGACGGTGCAGAACAATGAATAGGGAAGTGCAAGGTGACAGGTCGAAGAGCTGTAGCAGTTCAGAGAAGAATGTCACTGACCGCCTGGGGGCGGGGGTGGGGGTGGGGGGCCTCTGGCTGTGAGTTCCCCAGGTCGGGCCAGGTCTCCTCTTGATAACTTCTCTAGGTCCAGCCCAGGATGTGGCCAACCGGAAGTTCTCCAGGAAGGGTTTGCACGCGGAGGAAGATGGATGGATGGATGTCTGGATGGCTCCACTAACAGTTGGGTCATCCTCCTGCTCTGGGAGGGGCCCAGGATGAGAGAGCCTTTGGGGCCCAAAACTGGGGACAGGCTGCCCTCTGCTGGCTGCTCGGGCGGGCCTCTGGCAGCCATCACAGAGCCATCCGCCCGGACCCTCGGACACTAGCTGTCAAGCTCCGGGACCACCCGTTCTCCAGAGCAGCCCCACGGTGGGGAGGGGGCTGGACGCACCTCCTGCGAGTGAAACCGGGTAACGGCAGAGGGCGGTCAGCCAGAGGCGGCTGGGCGGAAGCACCCTCTGGGCGGTGCAGGGCGGGGAGGGGCGGGCGGGCTCCGAGAGAAGGGAGGGGCACCCAGGGGCGGTGGTTTTCTCCGGGGAAGGAGGGGCCCCGCGTATGCTGGCGTGCGCTGCTTCAGGAGACGGCAGGTGGCGCTGTGGGGTCGGGGCAAAGGCAGGCGCCCCTTTCCGCGCATCGCGCTCTCTCCTCGGGTACCCCGCGACCCCCTCCGGTACCCCGCACCCCCCTGTGTACCCCGCGCCCCCTTCCAGTACCTCGTATCCGCCTGCGATACCCTGCGCCCTCTTCCCATACGCTGCACCCTCCTCGGGTACCCCGCGCCCTCCTTCGGGACCCCACGCCCCCCTGCGGTACCCGGCGCCCTCCTCTCATACCCCACAGCCTCCTGCTGTACCCCTCACCCCCCTTCTGTATCCTGCACCTTCCTCCTCACCCCATGGGCCCTGAGGACCCTTAATTCCTGCTCCCCGGGTAATAGCTTCTCCTCGGAGGATTTGAGGCTATAGGGGCCTGCCGTGCAGCAAACTGTGAGTTTGACCCCAAGGAAGCAGGGAGCAAGGGTCTTTGTTTCAGGCAAGTATTTCTTTTCCCTTTTCTCTGATCTCTGAGCCAGGCATCCAGGGCGCCTCAGGAGACCCCACGGGCCGGGAGCCAGGCCCCACTGTGGGAGCCGCAGGTTCTGGTCTACTGGGGTGTGATGCCAAGGGCTATCCTGGTGATGGGAGGCAGGCCCAGCCCCCAGTTCTGGAAGCTTCCCTCCTCCGAGGGCCCTTGCAACCTGTTTGGCTCTTCTGAGGATGGAGAGAGACCAGAAGGAACCAGACTGGATGGCGAGGATGGGGGTGAGAGAATATGGAGGGTAGAGCCGCCATCAGGTGTGGGGGATCCCTGAACAGGACACTTGGGAGGGGCAGAAACCCAGGGAGACCAGGTGAGGGAGGTGGTGGTGAATGGGGCAAGGTGAGGAACCCTCAGACCAACTCCTGGGCAATTCCCACCCCCCACTCCCACTGTTGCCTCCTCCCCTCGCTGTGTCTTCACCCCCCTCCCCCTCCCCACCCCCATTATGAGAATCACTGGGGAGGCTTTTAAAATGGGTTCTCAGCCCCACCCTGAAACATTCTGATTCAATCGACCTGGGTGGGGCCTGGGAATCTGTATTTGAAAAGCCTGTTGGGTGATTCTGATGCTCAAGCTGAGCCAGGCTTGAGGACCTCAGGACCGGTCCAGCCCGCCAGCCAGTGCCACCTCCACCCTCCAGCCCACTGCCCTCCCGACGGGGTAACGGCCGCAGCGGCGTGAGCTCAGTGCCCCATTCGGCCGCTGCTGCCTCTGAGCGGTTCTCAAGAG